GCTCGGTGGCATCACTCCGTAGGACGTATATTGCAGAATGGAATCGAGCAGCCAGAAGCAATCTGAGGGGGGGGGGGGGGGGGGAATCGAAAAGGAAAAAATTAAATCACCTTGGTGTCAGGGTTCCAAGTAACACCCCCAACATAAGAAGACTCCGAGGCTTGAGTTTCCTCAAAGTTCCTCTTTATTATTCTCCTCATCTTTCTCATTTTTCCTATTACCTTCTCCTATTGGTATCTTATGATTAATCAATTGTTATTTGTATCTTACGATTTACGATCTATGGCAGGGCTGTCCAAACTTGGGAACTTTAAGACTTGTGGACTTCAACTCCCAGAATTCCCCAGCCAGCATGGCATCCCTTTGTTGTTTCTATGCACACTGAGAGCTCATGCACCAGAGACAAATTCCTTGTGTGTCCAATCACACTTGGCCAATAAAGAATTCGATTCTGATTAGAGGGGTCATATTGGCACATCTGGGGAAAACAGAATCTGAAAGCTTATAGGCTTTTCCCCACCCAAAAGAAAGTCCAAGGCCCTGCCCAGCACCCATGTGTCCATCACATGGTCCAATCAGGCACCGTCAAAAAGTGGAGATACCTCCCAATCACACCATCACAGCTGCAGGGCCAGCTGACCATGACTTTCTGAGAAAGAGTGTTATTATGGTTACATTTCTCCCATACTCTGTATAATCCCCAGTAGAAAATGTGGCAGGCCGGAAGACCCAAAGCAACAGATGACAGGTCTAACAGACAGTTTCAGCCAAACTAGCCAATTCGAGTAGCAAATCACGTTTCGTGAAGCAGGATTTCTCTTGGTTCAAAAAATAAAAACCATACCTATCAATGCCATCTGTTTTCCCAGACACTGCGCCGTGAAGAGTTGGTACTCTGCACCGCTGAGGTTTACTCTACATTTGGGGGTGAGGGGAGCTTCAGGGGGGGAGGGCTGAAAAGGTCAAGCATTAATTTTTTTATTTCTCTAAAGCTACATGTTGAAGGCAAGGGAAGTGGGAAGAAAGATCCAGTTTGGTGTAAGACTTAAGGGGGTTAAGATGCTGGTTTATAAACCAGGAAATGAAGACTTCTAGTTCCCCGCTAGGTATGAAAACTGGCTGGGTGATTTGGGGGCAATCACCAGGAGATTGTGAGTTCTAGTCCCACCCTAGACATGAATGCCACTAACTTTGGGCAATCACCAGGAGACTGTTGAGTTCTAGTCCTACTTTAGACATGAAAGCCAACTGGGTGACATGGGCCAATCACCAGGAGACAGTGAGTTCTAGTCTCACTTTAGGCATGAATATCATCTGGGTGACTTTGGGCAATCACCAGGAGACTATGAGTTCTAGTTCTACTTTAGACATGAAAGCCAACTGGGTGCCTTGGGTCAATCACCAGGAGAGTGCGAGTTCTAGTCCCACCTTAAATATGAAAGCTAACTGGTTGGCCCAGTCCCTTTCTTAATCTGACCTGTCTCACAAGGATTTTGTGGGGAAAATAGGAGGAGGGAGGAGTGCTACGTATGTTCACTGCCTTAGGCTACTTACATTGTAATGTAATAAAGGTGGGATAGAATTTAATTAATGAATAAATAAGAGGAAATATAAAGTTATTATGTATAAGTTGGCTACGAGCCTTAGTAAAGCTCGCCCAGATTTGATGGCAACAGAGGGTAAAAATGACCAGAGTTTTTCATTCATTGTCTCTCTCACTTTTTACTTTCCACTACATGCTATTTTAGTGGAAGGGAAGGCTGGCCAATATCATGGATATTTTTTTATCTTTCTGAAAATCTGCAAATCTAAAAGCCCACAGCAAGTTCTCCTTTATTATAGCCAAAGGCCAGCCAAATTGAGTGAAATTCCCTACCACTAATTACCACACTCCAATTTCTAAAATTAAGATACGCTCTACTAACAGGCACTAAATGATGGCAGCCTGAGTAATGTTACCCCTTTGCTGGCATAATGAACTACCACGCAACATGCTGCTGCTCGGGGAGAACATCCGCCTCCGTAGTCGATAAAAGCATAAAAAACGAAAGTGAATCTAAACAGTCCAAGGGATTTCAACAGAATTGGAAAAAAACCGAACGTAACTTGGCTAACTCTATGAAGACCTTGAGGCAAGAGGAAGACGGAGTCTTTGATTCTCTGTTACTTAACAGACAGATTAACAGAGTTGGAAGGGACCTTGTAGGTCATCTAGTCCAACCCTCTGCCCAAGCAGGAGACCCCCTACACCAGGGATGGTGAACCTTTTTTTCTCAGGTGCCAAAAGGATGCATGCGCGTGTGCCCACACCTGTAAATAAATCCCCCCCATTGTGCCCACCTGCGTATGCATGTGCGACCACCACCACCCCGCTGCCCCTCCGGCATGCACATGGCTTTCTTGGAGGCTGGGGAGGGCGAAAACAGCCTCCCACCCCCCCCAGGCCCTCCGGAGACCGGAAACAGCATGTTTCCTGACTTCCTGTGGGCCCATTTATCCCCTTCCCCAGGTTCCAGGGGCTTTCTAGGGAGCTGGGGATGGCAAAAATGGCCTCCACAGCCCCCCCGAAGGCTGGAAACAGCCCGTTTCCCAACTTCTGGTGGGCCTGATAGGTCTGCCATACCCTTAATGGGATTTGAACCTGGGCTGTTTTACATAATAGGCAGTTATACAATAATACAATAGCAGAGTAGGAAGGGACCTTGGAGGTCTTCTAGTCCAACCCCCTGCCTAGGCAGGGAACCCTATACCGTTTCAGAGAAATGGCTCTCCAACATCTTCTTAAAAACTTCCAATGTTGGGGCATTCACAACTTCTGGAGGCAAGCTGTTCCATTGATTAATTGTTCTATCAGGAAATTTCTCCTCGGCTCTAAGTTGCTTCTCTCCTTGATTAGTTTCCACCCATTGCTTCTTGTTGCTTATATTAACCTCTAAGCCACAAGTTTTTCTCCCTTATCAGCTGAGCCAGGGAAATTATTAAGTGTCTTTTTTCTTTTGTCAAAGCACCTGGTATGCCCAAATATGGGAGGGAGCATACTGCTTCCCTTTTAACTGCCTAATATGTAAAAACAGCCCAGGTTCGAATCCCAGCAAGGGTATGGCTAGCTGATGAGTGCTAAATATTTTGAAATAGATCTATACTAATCTCCTTCATTTATTTATCAGCAAAAATACTGTGTGTGTGTGTGTGTTTGTGTGTGTGTATGTATGTGTGTGTATGTGTTATGTCAAAACACCTGGTATACCCAAATATGGGAGGGAGCATACTGTTTCCCTTTTGCCTTTCAGCTCCACCCTTGGAGCCTTCCAGACAGGAAACCATTTTTGTGTTGCATTTGTGCTGATAAATAAATAAAGGGAGACTAGTATAGATCTATTTCAAATTATTTAGCTCTCATCAGCTAGCTATACCCTTACTGGGATTTGAACCTGGGCTGTTTTTACATGTTAGGCAGTTGTATTAGCCAATAAGCCACAAGCACAAATGCAACACAAAAATGGTTTCCTGCCTGGAAGACTCCTAGGGTGGAGCTGAAGGGCAAAAGGGAAGAAGTATGCTCCCTCCCATATTTGGGCATACCAGGTGCTTTGACATAATAANGGTTTCCATTCTATTTTAACCCCTGTTATTGCCTCCAGCAAATTTTTGATCCTTTTCCAATCCTATTCTCAAACTTTTATGGGTCTCAATGTATTCTCAAACTTTATAAGCTAAACCAATTTTGTTGTATACATGATGTACAATGACAATAAAGGCTTTGAACTTGAACTTTAGTACATCCCAAAGCATATAAAAATGAGCCAAATCTCAGCCAAACCCACTTCGGTGAGAACATTGCAAGCCATAAGTGCTTCAATTTGTGACCTACAATAAGGGCTTCAATTTGTGACCTACTCCCCCTTGTTCTAAAGAACAACTCCTAGTGTCTTTACCTCCATTTCTCCTTCGTTTCATTCCTGAAAAAAGATTGAAACTGACGACGTTAGTAAAAAAAAACTGGGAAGCACAGGGAGGAAAAGAGGAGGAGAGAGAGGAGGAGAGAGGAAGGGGAAATAGAGAAGAGAGGGATGGTAGAGGGAAGAAAGGAGGTAGGGAGGAAGAGAGAGGGAGAGGAGGCAGGGCGGCGGTGGAATAGGATAATATGGTGCATGGAAAGCAGAAGAGCAAAGGATGGTTGCTGTAAGTTGATGGTAAGAGGAATTGACATAATATTGGATACAACAAAATAGTGCTGGTTAAGATGTAATGCTATACTTGTGATCCGCATTTTTCAGAGTATAAGACGCAGCAAGGTTTTGAAGAGGAAAATTTAAAAAAAAAGATTTTGCACTCTGCAAACCTCCCCAAAATGGCCCATTTTTCACAAAAACGGGCCTGTTTTTTTTTTTCCCCTTTCAAAAAAAGGGCATGGATAGCCTTTAGGAGGCTTGTAGAGTGCTCCGGGGGAAGGGGCCAAAAATGAGCAAAAAACGGGCCCATTTTTTGTTTAAAAAAGGGCATGGATAGCCTTTAGGAAACTTATAGAGTGCTGCTGGGGCCTGGGGGGGGCAAAAATGGCCAGTTTTTCGCTCATTTCTGCCCTCCCCAGTCCCCAGGAGCTCTCTGAAAGCCTCCTAAAGGCTCTGCACGGCCATTGTGTCTGGAGGCAAAAAATGCTACATTCAGTGTATAAGATGCACCCAGATTTTCAGCCTCTTTTCTGAGGGGAAAAAGGTGCGTCTTATACTCTGAAAAATACGGTACTTGTCTGAAAATAAAACTTAAAAAAAAACTTTTCAAAAACAACAACCCTCCTTTCCTCTCCCCTCCATGCCAAAGGCCATCAGTCTGAGCCCTAACTGGAGAAAACAAAAATCAAATCACCTTCCATTCTCTCTGGAAGAATGTAACCTGCCCCGGTTGGGGGCCGCTGTCTGTGTTCGGAATGGCTGAGGCTCGGTGGCATCACTCCGTAGGACGTATATTGCAGAATGGAATCGAGCAGCCAGAAGCAATCTGAGGGGGGG